TTCCCACTGACACCAATGATGGGGCACTATTCCTCCCACTGACACTAATGATGGGGCACTATTCCTCACACACTGACACTAATGATGGGGCACCATCATTGGTGTCAGTGGGAGGAATAGTGTCCCATCATTGGTGTCAGTGTGAGGAATCGTGCCCCATCATTGGTGTCAGTGGGAAGAATCATGCCCCATCATTGGTGTCAGTTGGAGGAATAGTGTCCCATCATTGGTGTCAGTGGGAGGAATAGCGGCCCATCGTTGTCTGTGGGCGGAGCTCTAATAGGAAGAGGTAGAGCCTAAAGAGGAAGGGGTGGAGTTTGCAGGTGAAAGGGTGGGACAAATTTAGATGCCGGGGGTGCCCGATTTTAGTCTTGCCTAGGGCAGCACAAAACCAAAATACACCACTGTACCCAGAGCCAGTGCTAGACCATTTTGTGCCCTAGGCAAGACCACCTACTTGCACCCCCCAAGAAAAAAAAAACTTAAAATAAAACTATAAAACAAATCTCCACACCGAGATAATCCTTTCCAACGTTAGCTCTGTATGGCGTTTGACTGGGTAGCTGGGTGGGAGCATGGCTTGTGCAGCACCTCATTGGCTGGATACTTCTTCTTCACGGATTGGCTGAAGTTTGCAGAAGACAGCTTCATCTCCAGCTAACATCATCCAATCCTGTCTAGGAACAGGGACACCAGGACCCAGAAGTGACATTTTACACATTGCTTCTGGAACATTAACAGGAAGGGGAGATCAGTGAACAGGTGTTCGATGATCTCCTTCCCTTCTACTGGTGGCACCCACCATGTAGGTCTCTTGAGAGTGCGCAACCTGGGAAGCATTGCAGGGCACATGGGGGCATGGAAGCGATTTGGAGGCTGCACATCTATTGGATCATTTCCACCTGATAGTCAGCCTGTCAGATTTACATACACTCAATCCTGTTAGTTCTTATTTACACTTGTGTTTGGGGGACATTCAAAATGTGTGGCTGAGTCACACTTTTACCATCCCCCAACCGCTTCCCATTATGCTGCAAAGGCACTGCCACCATAGTATGGTGTCAGGGAGCGAGGAGTCAGACACACAAGGAGGTGCAATTAAAGGTAGGTATATTATACAAAAACAAGACAGAGTCTATGCAAGTCCAACAGCAACAGCGGATGACTTGGTAGAACAGTAGCCAGGAAGGATGGTCGCCAGAGCCGGGATCAGAAGCCAGGAAGGATGATCGCCAGAGCCAGGGTCAGAAGCCAGGAAGGATGATCGCCAGAGCCGGGATCAGAAGCCAGGAAGGATGATCGCCAGAGCCGGGATCAGAAGCCAGGAAGGATGATCGCCAGAGCCGGGGTCAGAAGCCAGGAAGGATGGTCGCCAGAGCCGGGGTCAGAAGCCGGGAAGGAGTCTTGCCAGAGCCGGGGTCAGAAGCCAGGAAGGATGGTCGCCAGAGCCGGGGTCAGAAGCCAGGAAGGAGTCTTGCCAAAGCCGAGTTGGTATCCAGGAGAGCAATGAGAAACTAAACAGGAGCTTGCTTCTGTGCAACAGACAGGACACGAATGCAATGGACATCTACAACCAGCAGACTTATATGTGATAAGCCGCCACCTCCTGGGGGAGGAGCTTCAGAGGGCTGAAAGCATAAAGGATCCCACAATGCTTTGCAGACACCTAAGATGGATGCCAGCACATGCAGCAGCACAAGTCCTGAGGAAAGGTAGGACCTTGACATATGGTAGCGAGGGGTTTTACATAACATCTGGCCATTATTGCCATACTACGGTTGCAGTGCCTTTGCAGCATAATGGGGAGTGGTTGGAGTACGGTAAAAGTGTGGCTCAGGCACACATTTTTAATGTCCCTCAAACACGAATGTAAAAGGAACTAACAGGAAGCATCTCACTGTGCTTATGTGATTGTCATCATTATCATGATAATGATCACACAGTACAGAAGGTGCTGTATGTCTGTCTGTATACAGCGTATATATGGCTATATCTCTGTCTGTGCCTTAGAAAACAGAAGGGCTATGAGCAGCCGTGGCCGGCCACCACTGATCAGCATTGCAAAACAGAGCGCGGCTCTGTGCCCGAAATTAAAAAAAGAGTCCCGTCTCTGCTCTTCGCCTCCTGGGCCCCTTTGGTGAACTGATGGGGCTCAGGGAAAATATTGTTAGTGTTACAGCAAGGCCAGCTGTACTGCCCTCTCGCCGTGCCTGAGCCCTAAGTGGCTGCCTAGTTTGCCTAGTGTGTAGCACTGGACCTGTATATACCATAGCTTTAGACCACATACCTTTCATACAGACTAAATATTATAAACTGTTGTGTTATTTTTTACCAAAACAATGTAGCAGAATACACCGTGGCCTAAATTTAGGAATAAATATTATTTATTTGCAAAATTTTATAATGGAAAAAAGGAAAAATGTTTATTTTCCAAAATGTTCAGTATTTTTTAATTTATGTGTAGCAAAAAATTAAAAAAAAACCTGTGGTGATTAAATACTTTAAAAAAAGCTCTATCTGTCTCAAAAAATGATGATAAAAATGTAATTTAGGTACAGTGTTGCATGACTGAATTATTTATTATTGATACTTATATAGCGCTGTCAATTTAACACTTATATTGTACATTCACATCAGTCCCTAACCCTCAAGGGACGTATAATCTAAAATCCCTAACTTACCTTCATACATACATATACTAGGGCCAATTTATTTATTTCAGGTACTTATACAGCGCCGTCAATTTACGCTGCGCTTTACATATATATATATATTGTACATTCACATAGGTCCCTAACCCTCAAGGGGTGTACAATCTAAGGTCCCTAACTCACATTCATACATACATGTACTAGGGCCAATTTAGACAGGATCCAATTAACCTACCACCATGTCTTTGGAGTGTAGGAGGAAACCAGAATCCCCCAGAGGAAACCCCTGTAGACACAGGGAGAACATGCAAACTCCAGGCAGGTGGTGCCGTGGTTGGGATTCAAACCAATGACCCTAGTACTGCCAGGCAGAAGTGCTAACCATTTAGCCACTGTGCTGCCCATGTGCTGAATAATTGTCATTTAAAATGTGAAAGAACAGAAATCTGAAAACTGGCATGGGCAAGAAGGGGGTTAAAGTGCCCAGTATTAAAGTGTTCAAAGCCAAAAAGGCAGAGATCTGGTGACCTTGGTGGAGAGTCCCTGGAAAAGCTGTAGAAAAGGGCAAACATCTGATGTTTTAGACCTCTTATAGTGTGGAGGTCAATGGCACGGTGAGCACATTTACTTATTTACTTTACAGCACATGGCGTAATCAACTGAAGAGTGTCATTGGGATTCAAGTGTTTATCTTCAATTATTCTCACTGTGAAGAATTATTGGACTTTATATATAGTTCATTCATTGATTTTTGAACTGTTTGTAATACATTAATTTCTTTTGGGTGAAAATGTTGTACATTTGGTGTTTTGAGTAGCCTCACTCATAGCACTGCGCTATTACTGTTTTTGTTTTTTAACCTGATTGATGTGAATGGATCTATAAGTATTCAGCTGCTGTGTGTAAATTAGGTACAGGCAGGGGCGGACTGACAACTCATGGGGCCCCCGGGCAATAGGGGATCATGGGGCCCCTGTGTCCTTGCCCAAACTCAAAAAAGCCTGTGAAAAAGGTACCAGGGGCATATCATGGGGCCCCGTACTGACCCCAGTCTGCCCCTGGGTACAGGTGTTTTTTCGCTGCGTAGTTCTGGTTTATTTGGTATAAATCCATAGCTAGGTGACATAAACAAGCCAACGCTTCTCATGCATACCCTGCCTTTTTTGGGGCTATGGTTGGTCCAGTGCTATTCATAATCAGCGAAAGAAGACCAGCAGAAGCAGAGAACACACAGCAGAAAGGTCCCAAAATATCACTGCACTTCCAGGTCCACATGAAACCTATTTGGCAGATCTGGATCTGCACTGTGAGGCTGCAGGGAGCGGGATCCCCTAAGCTCACACATTGTGAGGGAGGGAGCAGTTTGGTATCTTTGCCCTGAGTGCTGGATGACCTTGTTCCAGCACTGGTTGCAGCTACCACATCTAAGGATTGATAAACTGCAATATATTACATTCATGTTCTTGGGTTTAATACTTCTTTAAATTAAAATAATAACAATAATAACATGACCCATGCCTAAACAGTTTCTCTATATTTTAGAGTTAAAAACATGAAAAGTTATCCTGAGTATGGCAATATCTTATAACATAACTCTAACATTAACTCATTTCCAGTTCTCCAGCAAACAGTGGAGCAAATATTAGTACTGTCCTTCTTAGGGCTCATGCACACTTTGGGCTCTACTAAAAGCTTTTCTTCTGGCAGGAGAAAAGTAGATTCAAAAACACGCCTAAGCCACATTTTTGCAAACATATTTAGGAGCTTCAGGTGTTTGGGTGTATATTTATTTAATCTGCCAAAATATTCATTTATTTAAATTTTTATATTGAAACAAAAAAAAAGCTCAAGCACTAATTGCGCCTAGCACTTATATATGTTTAGACTCATTTGGGCACGTCAAGCCTTTCTCAGTTAAAATGCTCCTCTCCTGAAAGCACAAGTGATGTTTATTTTCTGCTTTTAAATGCCCCTGCCTTTAAACTCCTGTAAACACCAATGTGTGCATGCACACAATACGTTAACATGGAGGGCAGTTTAGAGGCAGAAAAAAAAGTCAAAAACCTCTAAAACAGGAGCTTTTTAGCTTGTGCGAATGAGGCCTTATTATCAGAGGAATAAATAGTACCTACCCTTTCCATCCTATACATTTATGTCCTACTGGTGCAATGGTTTGTACTGACCACAGTATCAGGGTTAGTAGAGTGCAGACATATGGAATTCAACAGGGATGAAGCTTTTTGTAGTCTACCATTGCAGATGCACAAAGGATGGTAGCTTGATTACAGCAAGCAAGAGCTGTCAGGATTTAGTCACTTGAGATAATAGTGTTCTTTTTTTTTCCCCCAGGATGTCTCTATAAGGGAAAATTATATCCGCTTGGAAAATCATGGAGGACGAAGAGCTGTTATGACTGTAGCTGTGGCAAAGATGGGGATATGGAGTGCTGTCAAGCGTATGTTGATATTTTTAGCAATACAATAGATTTATTTTTTGTTAACTGCTTGCCACCTGCCCACAGTACATATACTGTGAGCAGGCAGCACAGCCAGGCTAGGTGATGTGCTAATATATTGCGGTTTTACTTTCTGGTTTCCAGTATGCATGCGAGGGCCCCCTGCTGACCTGTGCTGTGATTGGACACAGCACAAGTTCATCAGAAGGTTTCAGCCAATGATTTTGGCTGTATGCCTGCCGATCGGCTGTAGCCAATAACATCACAACATTCTGTGTTTACAAACACACAGAACTCTGTACACAGGACAGTGATCTGGCTGCTTCTTCTCCCTGAAAAGCAGGGAGAACAATAGCCAGATCTATTAGTAAAAGCAGCACATATTATACACATTACATATTGTAAGGCACATAGTTAACCTCTTGAGTTCCCCTTGATGTTAACCCCTTCCCAGCCAATGTCTTTAGTAAAGTGTACAGTATTAGCACTGATCACTGTATTGGTGTCACTAGCGACATCAGTGCTAGTTAGTCAGTTAGTGTCTCTCCTCGCCAGTGTCTGTTAGCGCTAGATGGCCGGCCACACTATCACAGTCACACTATAAGTCACTGATCACCGCCATTACTAGTATATATAGCTACGCAAATTCACGTATATGAACCATAGCTTGTAGACGCTATATCAGTGTTCGTCAGTGCCACCTATTGGTGCTACCTAACAGTTCCAATCAGTGCCACATATCAGTGCCAGTCAGTGCCACCTATCAGTCCCATATATGAGTGCTGCCTTTCAGTGCTCATCAGTGATGCCTGTCAATGCCAACCAGTGATGCTTGTCAAGTCAATGCCCATCAGTACCTCCTCATCAGTGCAGCCCATCAGTGCCCATCAGTGCAGCCTATCAGTGCCCATCACTGCAGCCTCATTAGTGCACATCAGTGAAGGAGAAAAATTACTTATTTACAAAATGTTATAACAGAAACTAAGAAACAAAAGAAAGCTCTGTCTCAAAAAAATAATACAAATTTAGTTTGGGAATAGTGTTGCATGACCGCGCAATTGTCATTCAAAGTGCAATAGCACTGAAAGCTGAAAATTGGCCTGGACTGGAAGGGGGTAAAACTTCCCAGTAGACAAGTGGTTAAAAAGCCACTTTGCCAAAACCACCACCAGCATTCAGCACTCACTGGAACATGTGGCTTCATAGGGTATAAGCAGCAAAAATGTTCTGAGTAATCACCCAGATAATAACAGCTTTCTCATGGAAGTGATCCCTTTAAATGGATGCACTGACCAGGTCACCAAGGTCCATGGTACACGAATATATAGTGTGGCTGTGTGGAATAAATGCTTACCAAACTGAGCCAGATGTAACTTCCATAGTGTAGTATTTATTTAAAAATACCCAGTATACAGTACAATATATATAGTTCAAAACAAAGTCGCCAGCACTTACAAATGTAGCCCCCACATAGACTCCATGTATTGGCGTGATGTCAACACCCTAAACTCCAACCAACGGGATTCACGCCTTTAGGAAAAGGCATTGGTAAACAAAATGTCGCATTAAATAAATTACCGGGGGAGGTTTGAATAAACAAATAATCACAAATAAGACTCCCCTCTCATCAGTTCTAAATAAAATCCACTTGTTTTTAAAATTGTTATCCCATATTTCAAATGCTACTGTTATAGTGAACAATTCCAATAGAACTATACAGTATGTTTTAAATTACCCTTTTGACTCCAACTAGCATGCCAATAACCTGCACACCAATGTTTTCCCCAAACTGCAGTAAATCCCCCTGCATCTGTGGAAAGACAAAATTCCTTATCCAAAATAAATTCTTGCCACAATGACCTACCATTAAATGAATCAAGAATTTTGACCACGCTAGTATGTCATCTTTAAGGTCGGTAGTAACCTTGACATGTGAATATGGGGATTTTAAACCCGATATAGACATGTACAATCACCTCAAAAACATCCTGCCCACTGGCAATATTCTAGTTGCAAAAGGAAGAAGGCCTAAAAGAGATTGCATCTCTTTTTGCGTAACCTTCTTTTTTGGAACAAAAGACAAGTAAATGTTTTACAGACAAATGAACATAAACAGCTGTGAAAACACATATAAGCATATAATATACTTTAGGAATAAAATGTGAACTGAAAGTCCATAATGAAACGTAGATATCAGTTGCAATGTGATATTCTTCGAATGCTCCCAAAACCACCACATGCTCAAACACCGTAGTCCCTTTTGGGTATGCACTCACTGAACCTACATGCCTTCCACTCTCATGGTCGGCATGTATCACTTGTAAATCTCCTAATAAAGCATCAATATATGAGTTCCAACATCTCCACCAATCTTATTCCTCTCCACCAGATGTAAAAACCATGTAAATATAAGAGACAAACTCCAATGGTGTAGTACTAACACCTTTTTTTTTTAAATGAATAGACAGCCACTCACAAGATAAACTCATAAAAATGCCTGTTGTATAGACTATAGTGGGATGTGTGTGTAATGCTCTCACCACCACCGGGATCGCAAACAATGGCACTCCCACGTCACTTTTGGTTCCCCTTCAGACGTCACTTCCGAACGCTGTACAGCCTCACCCTGACTCGTTTTGTCACTTTCGACTTAGTCATAGGGATGGCTGCATCTTGTGGCCTTAACATTGAACTGGACATCAATTGCTTTATCAGTAATTTTTAATATGCAATTAGGGGGAATTTCAGGTTGAGTATAATATAGATTAAATTGTATTAAATTGTATCGTACTATTTAGCTTCATTTAATTTATTATTAATGTCATTATTGTATGATGATTTTATTTTGTTGTATATTCTATTGGAAATCATTTATCCATATATATATGTAATTTTAAAGATGTATAGGTTCATTGCATCATTGTATAGATTAAGAATATTGGATTGGGAGGTCTTGTTATTCGTACCCACCCCCCCCCCCCCCCCACTGCAGATATATAGGTCTGTATGAGTATTCCCCCATTTTCTGAGGTTGTATATACAATTACCAGTAATATGGTGGTATATCCTTCTAAATGGGTGGGTTTTGATTGACCTTGCCCAGTGTTGGCAATTGACCAATGATAGCGGTGGGGTGGATACATAAGGAGTGTGGCCGTGCCGTGCAGCCATCCCTATAACTAAGTCGGAAGTGACGAAACATGCCAGGGTGAGGCTGCACAGCGACCAGGAGCGACGTCAGAAGTGGAACCAAAAGTGGCTTGGGGGCGCCATTGTTTGGGATCCGGTGGTGAGAGCATTACACATGCATCCCACTATAGTCTAAACAACAGGCGTTTTTATGAGTTTATCTTGTGAGTGGCTGTCTATTCATTTTAATAAAAGGTGTTATTAGTACTACACCATTGGAGTTTATCTCTTATATTTACATGGTTATTACATCTAGTGGAGAGGAATAAGGAGATTGGTGGAGATGTTGGAGCTCATATATTGATGCCTTATTTGAAGATTTACAAGCAATACATGCTGACCATGAGAGTGGAATTATCACTTTATTGCACACATCCAGCACAAAGGGTTTTTGTTTGTATTTTATAAGGAAATGTTTTAACCTATCCACTTTTACATCTGTAAGACTAAATTCCGTAATAACTGTATTGATACTAATACCCAGAAAGTCAAGAAATTGTAGGATAAACTGTCTTTTCATGGACAAGTGGAACACCAAAAATGCTGCATACCTTACAAAATGATTGCAATAATTTAAGGCAAGCAGGCAAATCAACTGGACCCATAAAAAAGAAAGTCATCCAAATAATGAATGAGGAAATTGGAACCAGACTGAACAGATACAATCCACTGAATAAAAACAGAATATGTTGAATATGACAAAACCTGTAGGACTATATGACACGGACGTGTCTCGGCGAGCTCCTGCACCCCCGGCCCCAATCCGCTGCCATCTGGGCGGCAGTGGACCCTGACGGGGGCCCCACACGACCCTCCGGTCCCTGTTCGCCAGCCAGGGAAGGCCACTGGACCTTTCTCCCGGAGCTCCGGGACTTGCGGCCTTCCCGGCACCTGAAGCCGCGCGGCCTCGATTTTTGGCGCGGCCGACCAGGATCGCCGGACATCAGCCCGGACTACTGCCACTCCGCTCCTCGGTCCCCGCCGATCAGCCAGCCTCCCCAGGGCCCCCCTCACCGACTCTGGGTCCATTCCCGACCACCGGGTACCAGATCGCCCGGAGCAGCCACTGGATGGTCAGCTTAAGCACCCCTGCGCCCCTACCGCTGCCATCAGGGCCCATCCGGGCCCCTGTGTCTGCTGCCGAGGTCCCCACCAACACCCACAGTCACTCCGTCCCTCCAGCGGAACTCCGGCGGTTCGCAGCAGCTTGAGGCCTACCACGGCACCCGAAGCCGCGGTGTTTCCTGCTAGCCGTGGCTGGAATCGCGGCGGGAATTGCGGCCGCGGCGGGACGCCTCCGCTCCTCCGGGAAGCTACCACCACCACCAACGGTCCTGCTAACCCAGGAGGGATCCACCTCCACCCCGACGCTCCAGGACACCAGGTACTTCACCAGGGGCGCCCACTACCCACCAGGGAGCCCAACCACCATCACACCGCCAGCCTCCAGGGACTCACTCAGGGATCCCACCATCCACCTGAAACCCCAAACCACCAGGGACCCTAAGCCACTATCCCTCCAGGGATCGCTACTACCCCACCAGGGATAGCACGGCCACCATCCCACCGGGATCCCCTGCCCACCACCCCACCTGGGACTACCAGCCAGCCACCACACCAGGGACCGCTCGCCCAGCACCCTGATTTCCGGCACGCTATTCCCTCTGGCGATGCCCCGGCGACTAATGGCCCACCACGACCCTTGAAGCCGCGGTCTCTCTCCTACCGGCCGCAACAGATCACGGTTGAGCACAAACCACGCAGGGCCGACGATCGCTACCCGCAACGCCCCGCTCGACTCTGATGACGAT